ACAAAGTAATAAAATTAATTGAATTTCAAGATTTGAATGCAATTTTTAGAAAAAAATTAAATAAGTTAAAAAAGCGAATAGTGGTTAAATTATATAAATTTTTAAAAAAATTTATAGAAATAAACAGAAAAAGAAAAAATTTATGTATAGTAAATAGAAGAAGTAAATTAGAGACAGAAAAAAATACAAAACTAAAACTATACATATGAATATTAAAACGACTATTTCAACACAAAAAAAAATATCCACGAATGAATGTTTTAAAAATGTTTTGAATTGTACAATTCTCAAATTATGAAAATTAGATATTTAAGAAGGAATTGTTACACAAAATATAATCAGTAACGAACAAAAAATATAATAAGTAATACATATTAGTAATATAAATAGTGATCTAAGTATAAGAGTAATATCATTTAAAATTATAATATATAGTTAAAATAAATTTACATCACAAACAACATAATTTATGATGGATAAAGAATAAGAATTTAAATATTAATAAATTTTTATTTCTATCCTTTGTTTTTAAATTAGAAATTATTTAAAATTAAATGTCTATTCATATCAATAGTTTGTTTAACAATAGTATTGATGAAAACAGAATTTAATAGATATGAATTTATATAAAAATGTTAACATATTTTGACGCTATGCTAGTATAATTTATTTAGATATATTAGTATTATTTAGATAAATTATAGTACAATTACTATAATTTACTGAATTGTAATAAAACTAAAGAAATTGATAAATTAATATCTTCTATTAATACGAAACAATAACTTTATTGAATACAGGCTAGTACACACATGTAATAAATAACTTGTATACAAATATAGTACAGGTAATTTTTTTTATTACTGATTTAACTTAAATGGGTTTGTAGAAAAAAATAATTGGTTAATATATATTTTATCATAATAAAAATTGTAAGTTATTTATTTACCTTATTTGATGTTTTACTGTTTGGTTTAATTGCTTAATATTTTTTGCCAATGTTATCGGAATAAATTTAATAAAAATTTATTTTAATTTCAAAATTTATTGATTTTAAACAATAATAATACATTCAAAAAAAGAAACCGAATAAACTGAGTTTAGTTAAGATTTAATTTTTAATTGAAAGCACAATAATTTTAATCATGCAATAAAAATTTTATTCAAAATATTTTCACCAATTGTAACTATATTCATAATATAGTTTATTAAATAAATTTAATATTTCACAAATAACAAAAATCTAACTAGAAAATTGTTATTTCTAGTACAAATGTAACAAAATAAGTTCGCCTAGAATCCAAAAAGTGACTGATATAAATGAGGAATTACACAACAAGTAACACATAATCTAAATAATAATGAATAATTGTGGCGATAAAGACGTGAAAAGCATACTAGAATAGTCGTGCAAGTACTATGCATTCGTGCGTATAAAAAAAGGGAAAGAGACATAAAAAAAGTTAATTTTTGAGTAAACATAAAAAAAGTCAGCAGACAAAATCGGAGTCAAGGCTTAAGCACGTATTATCACATAAAGAGAAAGTTATTCAAGAATAAGTATTATGACACTTGTGCGTCTTGTAACAACTTCATTGCAGTTTCCCTGAATCTTAGATTCATCAATTTTCGCGATTCGCGTCAGCCGAAATTAACGAAACGTCAAGGTCAGGATTGACCTTCCGGACAATTTTCTACCTGTTTATAAATATATAGGTCAATAACTTGGATTCCAAAAGTTTACAACAATAAAATTTATAATTATTTTGAATCTATTATTGTTATACTACTAACATAATGTTTCAATTTTCTTTTTAAAGATTTATTGCGTCAATATCTTATTTATATTTGGGATTATGTATCATATATTTTATATTCAAAAATTAGGAATTCGTTTTTCTGCTATTCTAAAATTTCATTAAAATAATTTGAAGTCCATTTTTACACTTTCTAGTTGAAGTTGTAAAATGCAAATACTGTTAAAATACAAATATGATTCCATGTTTTGTTTTATAATATATATAATCAAAAAGAACTTCAAGGGTCTCTTTAAATATATGTACATAATATATGATAAAAATATCAATTATAGAAATTTTTATAACAATTAATTGTATGTTTATTTGATTATTCTGTAACATATGCTTTGTTAAACAATTGAATTCTATTGTAGATTAAAAATAATATCTCTGTTAAAATATTATTAAAAGCTTTTCCTATTCTTGTAAAAGTGAATTCTTAAAGCATTACTTATTTGAGTTTAAGTACGAATTTGAGCAGTCAGCTTTAATAAAAACTCAGAATTTATATTAAATAATTGTAAATTATGATTAATATTATTTATTACAATATGATTATGAATATTGAGTAAATAATGAAGCACAGTTGATAACACATAATTTGTGGATTATTGATATTGATATAGCCATAAATATTGCTTTTACAGCAATTGAAATAATTGAAAAAAAAATTTATTTTATATTCGACTATTATAATAATAGCATGTGTATAAATTAAAACTGAATAAAAATTAATTCTATAATATGCATTCCCTCCAATATAAAGTAAATAGTAGTTCATTATTATAAAGAATATAAAATTAATTATATAAATATTGAAATTAATTATCAACCTCAACTTCACTGATTTATTTTACCATTATAATAATTTTCTTAATTTTAAAATAATTTAAATAATTAAAATATTAGAAACCGTTGCAAATGATGGAAAATGAATTTAATATAAATTTTCTCTAGTAGTTATTCGCACTATCGCATCAATAAATGATGTAATTATAACAAACTATAAAACATAAATTAATAAATTCATACTTGCGCTTCGTGCAATTAGTGAGGTCAAGGGTTCTAACGTTAAATAAAATGTTGATTGGACCTTGTACTATAAATAATTACTGGCATACGTGAGAATGTTATAAAATATTAGGATTTATAATTATCCAAGTGTAGTTTATCATTCAAATAACGGAAAGTGTCAGTTTTAAAAAAATGTGATTATGCGACCAGAGTACCCGCGTATAAATGTATTTCGTCTTACAGCTAATAGAATTGTCTTGGAATACACTTACACACAACATGATGATTGAAGAGAATGTAATAATATCGAGACATTAAAATTTTCTGTTTTCTTTTTCGTAACAAACTTTCACTTACGATTACGCAAATATCGTATGAAGTGTTCGTGACCGCATTTTGGGCTTATCACGTTAATTTACAACCATCAAATCTTTTGATTGTTGTTACTTTTATTTATTTTACAATATAATTGTTTAAGTTAATTTATATTAAGGTATTATAGTGCAAATACTGTCACAGTGATACAATCTAATTCTTATTATTATTTCAAAAAATAAAAAAAAAACATTACTATAGGACAGAAAATTGTAGTTTAACAGAACTATGTATACATAATATTTTTTATCTATTATAAACAAAAAAGAATATGTTTTTTAAAACTTAATAATTTCTATAAGGACGTGCATAAATAAATGTTATAATTCATACTTTATTATATTTCTTTATATATAATATTAAAAAATAATTTAAACGTTTGCTTCCTGAGTACTAAACAAAACTGAACTAACTGTACTAAAAAAAAATTTCAAAAAATTAAAATGCTTACATAATTTTATTTAACTAAATAATAATAATCTGCATACATATATACGTAAACAAAAGAAAATTTAAAAATCTGTTGATTAAAAGTTATTTTAATTTTAAATTATTTATAGGTTTGCTTTTTTCTAATAAACATTTATTAATAAAGAAAGACTATCGTAAATAAGTTATGAATATTACAATCTGTCCATATATTACAACTTATTGTATATATAACTCAATTTTTTGAACAAGCTATAGTTACGATAAATAATGTTATATCATGTAATTATTTCATAATTTTTGTTTATTACGTTATAAGATATTAATAAATCATCGTGTTTTTGCGTTAACGTATATTATAGTTTGTGCAGTCGTTTTAATTCCATGGTGTACTATTTAATTTATTTTCCATTATTGCTAGTCGAATAATTATCCAAAATTTTATGTAATTTCAATAAAGGCATATTGAATAAATAGGTGAGCTATGCTTCTCCGCTATTAATTTTGTTTATAAATTTATTAAGTATATCCGTTTAACGTTACGTGAATCGATTCATGTACTTTTATGCACTGTATTTCCATAATTATTTGTTATGTTATTATGTTACTATCAAACGTTTTTTACCTCTTAAACAAAGTTTAAATTAACGAATGGTTTTCTCTTATATTGTAGAATATAATATAGTTGAAATTAATTTTTGTTAAAAAGAACTATATTGCTATATTATATATATATACTTTTTTTTAACAAGACCTGTTAATTTTTGCTATTTAAAACTTATATTCTATAGATGTATTATTTATGTTTTACCATGCACCTCATGCTTGTAATCATTTGATTTTCTAACAATCAAAGTTTATTGTAATTTTTGTCTTTAATTTCCACTATTCATATTCCGAATTCTTAAAAACTTATCATCAATATCATTAATTCATGAAAAGTAATTTTTGAATTTCATAATAGTAAACAGGTTTCGATAGCTCATTCATAGGAGACAAATTTCTTAAATGAAATTTTTATTTTATTTTCCTATATAACTTTAAATATTAATAATTTAAGACTACTATAAAAGCAGTTTGTTAAAACAAATTTTACGATGAAACAATATTAAATGTATAGTCATAAACTTCATTTCCCCACCATTTCGATCTACAACATATTATTATTCAATTTTCAAAAGCATAATTTATATTTTCAATTTTTATAGGTGAATGTATTACTACAAATTTATAATTTAAATACACAAATGATGTATTTGTAATAATTTTATATAACCAAGAATAAAGCTATATTTACAAAAACAATAAATTTGTTCTTAATATTATTGTAAATTTTAATTAATAAATGTAAATTTTTATTTACGATATAAAAGGATAACTCACTGCTGAATTGAATATGTCGTCTAATCTATATTTTGGGTCTTTGCCTTTTTTAGGTCTAATAAGTAAATAAAGTTGACCAATTTCAGGAAGACAACGCAAGAACTTTTCAATAATCACTTTGCCCAGAAATCCTGTTCCTCCTGTAATAAAGATATCTCGATTTTTGAAGGTTTCTCCGATTCTATCAGGTAATTCTTCAATATTTATAGATGCCATTGATTATTTTAAAATCGTTCGACGCTTATAGTTGCCTCTGTAATTATAAAATAAAATTGTATATTGTATATCATACATTATTTGATTAATATAACGTAGTGATCATTTTATTATTAATTAATAATTTCTTATGAATTTTCCTCAAATATTTCAGGATGAGTTTATATTTTCTAGGTATATATAAAATAATTAGTAATGCTTATTTATATTAATTTAAAATAAAAAAAAAACAATGAATATATTTAATCACTATTATTTAAATAATAAGTTTTAAAAATGTGTCATGAATGAAATTGGTTGGTTAAGAAAATGACAATACATAATGAATAAATACTTTTAAATAGAAGCAATCACTGATTACAAAATAAAATTCTTTTTATCTTCTATAAATTATAATTTATTATAACTATCATATATTGTGTTTTTTATACGTAGGTTAATATAATATTACGCGATCTCACAAGGTAACTCTCGAGGCCGTGATAAATGAAAAATTATTTCGTTGTTACAACTGTAATTATGAAACCAATGCTCAACATTAATAAAGGCAAGGTGAATTTACCAATGGATTAACATCATGCGGTACCCTTCAATTTCTAATCTTTTATTTAAAATATTTTCAATGCTTTTCGAAATTTATTATTAATATTTAATAATATAATTTCTGATGTAAATTTAATTTTATTTAATAAATTAATGTTCAGTTATAAGTTATCTAAAATAAAATATTTGAGGACAGATGATGATATATAAGAAATGTTAAATAAGAGGTGATAACCCGATACTTACCGGTTATATTCACATGTAATAAATTTCAATTTAGTTGCTCAATGTTGCTCAATTAAATAAGCATATAAAGTTTAATAATTGATCTAGATATTATGAATTTATATAAAAGTATACCAAGTTAGTAGTAAAAATATTATTAAATTTCATAGACTGACAATAAGTGTAGTCCAAAAAGACACACATAGGCTTTTATAAATTATGGTAATGAAGAAAATTTGTAATGATAATTTTCGAAATGATGGAAAAATTTTATTTAAAATATGTTTCATGAATAATCGATAATGAAATAAATTCATAGAATACGTAAGCTATGCATACGAATGAATATATGTTGTAGTATATGAAAATTTCAGTTGAAAATGTGCAATATAATGAGCATTATAGGAAAGACGATTCTTGATTAAAAAAATAAATGAATAAGTGTTTCATCATTTGTCAAGTAATAGATTAAATAAGAAAGATGCCGAGAATGACTGTTTCGATTATCGTACTCAGCAAACAGTTTCTGAAGAATCTCAACAACCTCCAGCGATACACATCAAACACACAATGCATTCAATTATTAATTTCTCATCGGAGTGATCGAGCGTCTATAATAGCGAGTGTCCGTTTATGGCCATTCGGTAGCGTTCATTACAGCGAAAACAAGAAAAGTTTCTATCTTATCGCATAGGCGAATTTTCATGAGCACGACACCGCGAGTTACTTTCTAATGCGTCATCATACAGAAGTAAACGACAGCTGAGTAATAAACAAAGCACTTCTTAAAATTACTTGTTTTCGAATTTAGAGGACGCTTACTCTAAGAATTTGCGGTACCGTGATTTCATCTCCTAAATAATTTATCGATTACTTATTCACGTGTTTAATAATAAACCCCTTTGATAATAATTTTTTAGCACCACTAGCCAGCCAGCAAGTTAGTGGCATTCAAAAGAGGTCTCTTACTTTCCTCTAGTATTCGTAATAAATCCTTGCACCAAGTTAATTCTGGCTACCTCTACAATTTTTAAGAACTAATGACCTAAATATGATTGCCAGCTTATTCAATATAACTACAACTTTTTAATATTTATTTTTAAGATTTATAAAGTTTCTTACTAAATAACTATTTTATATCTATATATTTTATGGATTAACATTCGTATTAAGCTTTCTCTTTTTATTTAAGATTAATTTTCCTTTTTTCTGAGGAATAAAATATAATATTAATATTCATATTTTATTAGGAAAATGAATATTTTTAAACATTTATTTAATCAATAAGAAAATTTATTAAATGAGTCATATAATTTTTTGTTGAATATTTTATTATTTTTAATCAAATTACTAAAAAAATATTTGAAAAAATTCATAATTTTTATTTGTGCATACCTACTACTGCTTTCTTATTTAAGTATTAAAAATATAATTTTTTTACAAAAATAATTACAATCCTTACTTGCACATAAATATTTTTAAATAATAAATATTTCATAAATCTACCTAACAAATATAAATGAGCAAAATTATTATATAAAATAGTTATATTTCTTCAACCTGAATTGAATTAATTTTATTATTCTAATATAATAAATATCATTTAATTTGAATAAATATGTATATCTTATTTTAATATTTAAATAACTTCAAATAAACAGTTTTGAAATAAAAAATAAATTTTTTGTATATAATATTATACATTTTACTTTTAAAATGCTATTTATACAATGCTTGTGATCTATTTAATAAAGCAATAAACTAATATTTATAGCTAATGAAAATAATGAAATGCCTACCATAAAAATTTTTTTATAAATTGAAATTGTCGTGAAACTAAGAATACTAACATTTACTTTATAAATATTTTATGGAGTAAAATATTTCTTGCATCCATCAATTGAATTAAAATGAATGCAAAAGTATATTTTTGGGATTCCAAATTCAAACACTAATTTCAAATGTACATTTCTAATAGACAAATAATTAATTTTTTCAATAGAAGAAATTTATAGATACTACTTTTCATGAATATTGAAAGTACAGTTTTTTGCAGGGCTTTATTCATATAAATAATATATAAATTGGTGTCATCGTTAAGTAAAATTAAGTTTCCTTTGCTTATTAATGTAGAAGAAAGAAATTTAAAAAATGAGATAGAATGGAAAGAAATAATAATTAAAGGATAATTTATTCGTTTATCATATACATTATACTTAATGTTACTAGTAGTCACTCATTCTCATATCGAATAAAATAAAGCATTATATATTGATGTAAAATGATGCGTTTCTGTCGGTCATTGAAAATATTCACTGAGAATATCATATTTCAAGTTATGTTTAGTAGAATATATTACACGGCGCTAACACTGCTCAGTTAGAAATTAAATGCAGACTATAGTATTTAAAATCAATATATAATGTGTTAGATATTTTGTATTTTCTTTAATTTAAAGTATAACAATTACGAATATTCTTATTATTTTAGACTTCTTTTTTTTATTTTTATTTAATTACAATCATCAAGTGTTATTATTATTATAAGAGGCTATAGATATTAAAAATCAACTACGAAAGTTTTCGTAATTTCGATAATCCGTTATTGATACATCAATAATAAAAGGCCTTTATTTTGAGATTCTTTTATAAATATTAATGGATTACATTATTGAATCATTATTTACTAGACAATGATGGTTTTTTTTAAATGTTTAAAATATTATCCTGATAAATAAGTGTTAATTTTATAATTCCAAAGTTATTAAACTGTGTTAAAGAAATTAATATAAAGTTAGAATAAATTAATTGATAATTAATTTATAGAGATATGAATTTGGATATTTTAATATTATTTTTTAGTATTCAATATTTATGTGATAAATTAAATTAATAAATGCAATATATCTATATTGTATATACGCAAATAAATATATTACGCTATACCAATCGGACAATATTTTTGCATGTAACATATTAGAAAATTTCTTTAATTATATACTTATTAGTATATTTATAAGCCCATTACTATATTATAAATATAGTAATGACAAGTTCGACTTGTCTGAAAAAAACACAAAAAAAACTTTGTAAGAAGACAATAAACGAAAGTTTGAAATTGTTGCTTCCGGCTATCATACACAGACATTGTTCGGCTGTATTCCGAAGTCATTAGAAAATCAAGTAAAACACTCATTGTTTCAAAAAATCAAGTATAATAAATTTCTAATGGCTAGTCTATAAAATTAATATAATTATTTAAACACATTGAAATCCGATCTCGTATCGCGGTCACGATGACACGGCCTAGCAGTATAGTCAGAAAACAACGCATACGAATTACAGTGTGCAACACTGTATTTTCTCCTCCATTCAGTTTTATTTCGCGATCTCTTGCTACTGGAAAATGAATTTATCACTCCACGCAAGGTAATACTTTAGCCACTAGTGGACCGCCTTCCTTTTACGTAAGATTCAAAAGTGTTTGGTGCTATTTAGCAACTGTTAGTCATTTATCCACATTTTTACAGCTACTTTTCTACATTTGTTATACGCAGTTTATTAATTATTTTTCTGAATAATTTGAAATGATTACGTATTTTATATTGATTTGTATAATTGGTAAATATGTATGCTATAAGCGAATACAGCCTATTATAGCAATAATATAAAGTCGAAGATATGCACTCATTCATTAATATAAAATCAAATATAATCGATTATGTTTTAGATTTCATCTTGATCGTCTATTAGCACTGAGTTTATGCTGGTTATTTGATATTTGGAGTTTGCAAAAATTTATGTTTATATTAAATTAATTTCAAGATTGTTAGAAAAAATAAAGATTGGTAAATAGACTGTTTTATGTATTTTTAAATTTCATTTAATAAATAAATAATTCCATCGAATTTAAAAAAAATTAATTGCCTTGTAATTGCATGTTGTGATGTATTACAAAAATTAATGAATATTTAATAGTATTTTAACTATAAAAATATAAGAGTAGTTTAAAAATCGTAGCTATAATTAAAATGGAGAAATCCTCCAGAGGTATGATTATTTAAGAATTAACGTATGAAATATTTGAAGCAATAGATTATCATTTAATTTTGATATCTACAGAATCTAGATGCGCAGATTTGAAACATGGATAGAAGTTATTATTTTTCACTCGTGTATTGTTCACGTAAAATTAATCATGTCGTTATATATATATATACATTTTGTATTTAGGTTTTAAGTATGCTGTCAAGTGAAAATTAAGACTGTAGTAAAGTTTTTAATGTACATCAGCGATTATTTAAATGTTGAAGTATTTAGGACAAGTGTTTTTCGTAACTTAGTAAGAAAGATATTAAATTTGTAGTTAAGAGGTGATGTAATATTTATGATGAAAAAACAAATCTTTTATAACTAAATTTTAGTGTATTATAAAATTATTTCCTTACAGTCTATGCGAAAAGAAAGGTCGATGAATAATATATTTTGTAGTTTACTATTAAGTAGAATTAACGAATAAATAAACGAATAAATGAATGAATGGACACACGAACGAAGAAATAAATGAAGTATTAGATAGTTAATGCGTTTATTTTGCTACTCAAAACTTAAGGAGTAATTTAGAAACAGCGTTGAAGCTTGAACAGAATAGGAATTTTCCCTATAACTCTTCAACACGATTGAACATCATAGTGCTTTAAAACATATATCGGTCAGTTGGGGACATAAGTGAAAAATAACCAGTGAAAGGGTCGTAGCAGACGACACAATTCGGGCCTTGATTTATGAGAGTAATCATCATTAAATAGTCGAAACTGACTAGTTAGTCACTCACGTCTCCTGCCGTTGGTCGTCTATTGACTGTTCTTAAGATTACCCCAGGAAAGATGCAGAAGCCAATATTAAATACGGGTGTGGTTGAATAGGTCACCGAATATACTAGAGTGCTTCTGGCCAGACCGCAATAATCCGTCTTAACGCTCTAACGCGATCGGTCCAACTGATCGGGGCAGTCACAGGATAGAAGGCAGGAGGCAGGACCACTAACAAGGGGCATTGACTCCCGCACTCCTCCTTACCCCTCGTCGAGAGTGAAGTCGGCCGGTAAATCATAGCTTTGGGGTCCCAATTTCTTTACCGATGGAGTATTAGCTTTCCATGTATATATTTCCAATATGGCATTGTAAAATGAAAATTATATGATCCAAGTTGCAAACACTTGTGCTTTTCTTATTGGCTAAATTAGACAACTATACATTGTTCAATTTATTTATTATAAAACATTTCTTTAGCCATTCACAGAGGATTATTATTGTTTTGTTGAATTTCCATATCATTTCTATAAGCTCCATTAGAATGTTAATGTTAATTTATCTTTACAAATATCTAACATAAAATCACGCTTCTATTATGATAGATTTTTCGACTACAATTTTTGGACACAATTTTATCTGTACACACAAATCTATTATATATAACCTTTCAATGCTTTTTAGTTTTATTTTAATTATTTCTTTAATTTTAATACTACTTTCATTAAATGTCAGAAAAAATCTATTGCAAATCTTCTAGGTATAAGAAAGTAAACTTCTTGTTTATTTTTAATGACTACAGTATATTTCATAATATTATAATATTATAATATTTTATAATAATTTTCAATTAAATTAATTTACTAAAGTTTAATTAAATTGATTCTCTTTCTTCTATTCTCTTTTAAATGTATACTTTAATCTTTGCCTTGTCATATATTACGTATCATATAAACTAAATATAAATAAGTTTTATTTCGTACCTTTATTAAAATTAATCATATATATCACATAATAGTTCATTAGTCTTAGAATTTGTAAATAATTAAACTGATATGCTGCGTTTAGAAAGGACAATCAGTTGGACAAGGCACGTAACCACCTCGATCATATTGCGGTGACATTTATACCTGAAAGTGTCAGAAATTCATAAAAGAGTATAAAAACACTTTAAGATTCTTAGTTCAATTAATTTTTTTATTAGAAACTTAAGATTTATATTTTCAAATCGTTATATACTTTTATAAACTCTATATTTATAAATTTATAATTTATATAAACTTACTTTTAAAAACTAAAATCACAGAATTTGTCAGACTAGTGTTATCAATATTTCCTTCATAAAAGCAATTGTTTTAATACTTAAAATTTTACTTTGTTTTCTAAAATCTTAATACTTACTGCCAGCGAAAATAAGAATATAGAATATAGAATATAGAAAATAAGAAAATAGAATCTAAATAAGAATATCTTAAAAATTTGAGTAAAATAGTTTTTCGAATCTTATATCAATACTTCTGTAAAAATATACTTTGTTCTAAAACAATAAAAAAATTGCATTTATATATTAGAATTATCTATTACATAATTAAAAATTTTCAAAGATACAAATTGCTATAATGAAAATAAATAATAATATAAAACATTCGAATTAATTTATGATGATATTTCAAATATCCATTTATTTTCCATGTATTTATTTTTTTAATAGGGTTGAATCGAACGTTTACTCTTTATTGTAACAATTTTATTAAGACGTTTTTTATACAAACTAAAATATCTCATAAGAACGTATTATTAAATCTGTTACATGTGAATAGAAAGATTAAATAAATGTATAACAATTAAATAAAAAACTAATATTATACTTAAATTACTCAATATGTTTATTTAAAATAGGATTTAAAATTAAATTGAACTCTAATTTCTAATAGATGGTGTCATATGGTGATACATATTATACTGTCCATTTCTAATTTCATGTTTTCATCGTTTTTTTCTTTATTCACACTTGTTTTTAATTTTTTGTAAATACATATTTCATAGCGATCTGGTCACTAAGTAATATAATACAAAACTTTCTTGACCTCGTCTAAAAGTTGCATTTTTTCTTCTGAAAACCAATGATTGCAAAGCTATTGCATATATTTGCCGACGATGACGAAGAAAGATGACACCTCAAATGCTTTGTAACTACTTTATCGTTGAATAGCACTGTCGTCATAAATTTTTTCGCCATTGCCTTTCTAAGTATGTCAATGAGATTAAATAAAAATAATTTCCTTCGATTGATTAATTTTTTCACATTCTATAAAAAATAAATCCTAGGTTCAAGTTGGTAAGATTACACTTGTTTGTACTTACATAATTTATTGATATCTTATAAAAATATGTATAAATATAATAGATTATTTTTATATTTTAAATCTAAATTTAATAGTAAAAAATATTCAAATATAATATTTACTATTAAGAATTGTATAAGCGTAATAATATGCTATAGTACTTTGTTATGTATATTTATAATTTAAAATATTAATATACTGAATTTATTCTGAATAATAATAAATTACGTTTTTAATTATTATATCTCATATAGTGCAATGAGATTAATTACCATAGATTAAAAATTTTATTTTTTATTAAACTGTAAATAGAGATTTAATTAAAGCAAATGAACATGTTTACAAAAAAATTTAAATAAATTAATTAATATAATACAAATTTATATGCTTATCATTATTACCAAATTTAAAATATATTATTTTAAATATTTTTATTTGAAGTCTTGATACTGTAGATGCCAATTATCAAATTAATATACAATTTGAACTAAGCATTTTCATATTTTCAAATTAAATTTTGTATATTTTAATAACATTTTTTGAAAGACTTAGAGATATATGATATTCACATATTCAAATATTTTAGATAATAAATTATGCATGCATACTTTCATAATATTCATATTTTTGATAAAATATTAAAAACCTTCATTGTTTTCGCATTTTATTTATATTAAAATAAAAAAACAAATATTTTTAATTTATGCAAAATTTCAATTAAATTAACATACTTTAAAACATTTTTAAATATATGCATATACATTACTTTGACTGTTTACAGTTTATCTGCTTTTCATACATGAGTATGTGAGTTATTAATTTTTAATAACTTGATTATACGTGATATACGAAATAATTTGAAGGTATTATATCAATATGAAACCACATTTTTTCCATACGTGATATTTGATCATTTTAAAAAAATCGTATAGATACTATTTATTCACCTTCCGTATTTAAACATTATCGTATATTCATGCGTGCTTGTCTAATAATTTTTTCAAAACAGAAATTATAATTTACAGGAATCTTAAAAAGGTTCCGATTAAAATAATAATAAGTAAATTAAATATTATAGTTCAAAGCAGTAATTCAGTCATGCGTAAGAACTAAATTATATTTTTATGTTAAATCACAAATAATTACAGTAAATATTTTATTTAAATTTTTAATATTAATTAATTAAAAAATATATCTATTCCATGTTATACATTTCAAAATAATTATATATAGATTAATTTGTACTCTACATAGTTTATTCAATAATCATGTATGTCGATGCTTTTAAATGTATAATGAAATAATTATTGTTTAAATAATTATGTTGTGTGATTTAATTATTTTTAATCATAACCTAAAAATTAATAAAAATAATAAAAAATAAAATTATGTACAAAATATGAAATATGAAGAATTATATATGAACAAGTAAATATGAATATTTCACATTATAAAAATGTAACTAAATAAAATTCAATGTTATTACTGAATTTTGGTTGAACATGCAAAAATATTTTAAGTATCTAAAAGATACAAATGAAATACAAATAAGTTTAAACATTCTGTATCATCTTTTCTTTGCATAAAGTATTATTAAATGAAAATTCTTTTAAATCCAATTACTCCAATAACAAATTTACAAAAGTAATGATCAAACTACTGAATTTTTAAAAATAAAATATTTTGTATATTTTATATAAATTATATATAATTTATATTATTTTACTTTTAAATTTGAAAGTTCTTAATAAAAAAATTAGTTATTTATTATTAGAAATTTATTTTTATAAAATTACTTGAAATATTATTTGCAATAATAAATCTATTAATTTAAAAACACATTTAAATCATCTGACGATACTTATTCATATATATAAAATTTGCATATAATTGTATATCATTTTAATTTTCATTATATTCTTTAATAGTTAACATTTTAAAATGATTAAAAGCTTTTTGTTTTAAAAACAGTACAATAGGTAAATAAAAAGGCATAATTTTTCAGACGTACTACTAAAACTTCATTTTTAAATTATATATAACAAATTTCATTGTAAAAATACGACCAATTATTATATAATGAAAAAGAATGTAATATTTTTATTTTAAATTAAAATAAATGCAATTTTTTGCACTCACAAATAGTATATAATTATGTAATAATTGTCGAAAAATTAAATATAGACTATTTTAAGTATGAATCAATCTTATCTGCATGAAAAAGATATATTAATTATTTAAATTTGATGTAATTATTATCTATAATATTTTCTGTCTTATATAGTTTGATCATTCAATAGCATCAATGAGTAAATGTTCAACGCTAAGACTTATTTATCATATTGTTGAAAAATCCAGTCATCCGGTGGTCGAAGGACCAAAATGGTTGGATTAGACTATGTCCACCATAATTGTAGGAAAAGTGTAGTTAAGTGGAAAGGGTAATGCTTCAATTCAATATTCAACACATTGATTTTCGTGCTATTTATTGAGTTTTATTTGACAACTATACTAATATGATTCTACGTTAATGATGAGAATCGTTGAGATCTTGCCGGTCCTCGGTGGTTTCTACCTGATGATAGCATGCACTACTTGTATAGGTAGGAAGTCGTAAATGTCCGGATCCTCTTGATGAAGTGCTACTTGGTGGCATCTTGTTGCGAGTCTCCTCTTGATGTTACGTGTCGCGGAGTCCAGATAAACATTGTAGAACGTTCGAAAGTAAAGCTTTAGAATGTTCAAGACTTTTCGGAATCAAATATTTATAAAAATTCGAGTGCTAGAAGGATTATAAAATTCCGAGAGCAAAAGATCTTGAAAAGTTCTCCAATCCTGAACACATGTCTATATTATATCTGGCATTAATTAAAATCGTTTTTTAAGTTGATTATTATGCAAGACGTCTGAATGCCAAATATTTAAAAAAATACTATAAATAATACAAAAATATGTATTTTAAGTTTTAAATTATGATATAGAAATAAATATATAAATTAATATTTTAATTGATATTAGTACTAATTTGATCAAATTCGTAAAATTTAATTAGTTTCTATTATTTTTATATATACCTTATATTAGCTGAACATCGGATCTTGTAAGAATCAAAACATAATCTAGATTTAACTCTACTATATGATCGTTATTTTAAACACGTTTATTAAAATTAACAAATGATAAGTCGTCGACAAGCAAATTTTATATGCAAATGTATTTTAATCAATCACATTTTTCTTAATAAGGTTTATACTGAGATATGAAATATAACAACAATTTCAATGTATAAAAACTTAAAAAATAATTGAAATAATTGAATTGTTTAATTAATATTGTTTAAGTAATTTAAATAAATTATTAATTTTAATTAAATTTATAAAATGTATTTAACACTTATAAGTAATCAAAACTATATACGAAATCGTTTTTATTGAATATAACATTACAGATACCTTAATTTAATATTGATATCAATATAAAATGTTCAACACAGCTTTTTGATCTCTAATAGTAAAAATTAATTAGTTAAAAATATATAAGATGTATTTAGTTAATTGAAAAAATAATTATGTTTACAAATAATTTATACTATAATTTTTCAAAGCAATTAAAATAAAATAGGGATAAAAGTTCATTTATGAAGTATTAAACTGTTAAAAGAAAACATGCTAAAAAATTATGTAAGGTAAAAAAGTTTGTGTTTTCAGAAAATGTGTCTGAAACTGTACAAAACATTCAAATTACTATTTATTTGTTTATTTTTGTTTCCTTTCAATTTTGTCTTGCAACTTGGTATAAAAATAGAAAGTTGGTCCAAAGCTATGTCGATACTCAATAAAAATTAATCACTACTGCATTCCCGTTATTTTATGCAACATTTATGAAAGGTAAATATATTATCTTAAGTTTTCATAATATCTGTTTTATTTCATTTTTTTATTACATCATTTATTTCATTCTAAAATTCTATTTCATTCAACATTATTCTAAGTTTTAATATATAACTTAAACATATTTTTTAACAAAAATCAAAGAAATTCAGCCCTATATTTTTTACATTTTTACTATTTTTTAGTCACATTTAATTCTCTGTTAAACATTATATAATATTTTATAATATCAAGAAACAAATAATATAGTAAAGTTTAAAGCAAATTATTATTTATTAATTTACTTCGAGAACAAATTTCAATTAATAATAAATTATTTTAGCTATTTGCTAATTTATTTTTAAATAAGCTTACAGAATGCATGAAATAGTTTTTTGAATAGCAATCTAAGTATTTCAATTTATTTATTAATTCAAGATATAAAGTCACATTGCATAAATTGAGAACTTATATTTGAATATTTCATATAAAATTTATATAATTAAAAAAAATTAATGTTACCTAATCGTATTGTATGATATATTATATTATAACATTAATCATATTTGATATTTAAACTCAGTCCTATGTTATATCTCTTATATATATTAATTATATCAAAAACAGAATGTTTGTATAAATATATTATCGAGTTATATTGAACAAAAAAACAGTGCATTATAAATTTGCGAATATAACTACTTATATATCAACTGCACAAGATAAAATTGAATTGCATTTAATACGATTATAAATACGACATTCGGTAAATTATTACTTAATAATCATAAATAAATTAAAGATAGTAATAGATGTTTCAAATATATCAGGTAACAATGATAATTACAAATAATTAATTACCAATAGTACATTTGGTAATTCGTTATAAAAATTAAAACATTTAATTAATACAATATTCATTTATCAAACATAATTCACGTTAAATGATAAAATAAAATTATCTTGACAATTTATACTACTATTAATAATTTGGATAATTGCCTGCAAGTAAATATTTGATGTAGAGATTCAAAGAGATATTATAAAAATATATTTTTAATATATTAATTATATGTTGAAACATTAAATATTACTATCTAAAAATTAAATTTAACATGAATAAAATAAAATAAAAAGGTACATTTTGACGACATATTAAATGAAGATGATGTTTTTAAAAAATATATATAAAATATTTGTTAACTATCTTATATACAGAAATTATTAATATAATATTTTTTCCAAATTAGTAATATTCATACTAATGACTAAGCGTTAGAAAACAATTTACCTATAAAACTTATAGAATTATATAAAAATTGAAATTAAGTTTAATTTTTATTGATAAAATTTTTTATTTGGTTATTTTACTGTAACTTATAAACAGTTTCTATTTATCTTAAAGAATTTCTTTTTCATAAAAAATCACTTATAACGTATTTATGTACATATATTTATGTTTAAAAATCATTTTTATAACTTTAAAACTTAGCAACACTAGGTATTCAATGTTTTATATATAAAAGAATTTATAAGTAATTTAATGTTTATTTTAATAAATAAACAACTATATAAAAATTAGATGCATTATAAGCATAAAAATAGAAGATAGATGATAAGCATATGTATATAAAAACAACTCATTATTATAAAGAACATGATTTATTACAATATAATTGAACTATATGTTAATTAAAAGATTGAAAAATATTAGTTCAGTATTCACTTATTAATATAATATTAAATAATTTAAAATAAAACTTTAGCGCTTTAAAACTGTCTAATTAATGCAATAGTCATTAAATTAAATGTATTCAGTTTACAAATTTAGTACATGGATTTATAATATAAATAATAAAATTATAGTAAATATTTAGAAAAGATTAATTTCTATATTTTGCATTTCCATTGTACATAAATTAAATTTGAAAATCTAGAATTTTTAATCTGGACTCAAGATTATTTAATTAACACACACATATATATATATGTATTATTTAAAATATTTTTATTGCTGTTTTATAAAATAATATTCTATATCAGTAATAATTTATCAAATTGTATTATTAAATTGAAGCAATTCAATAATCTGATTCTATTTTATCCATCGAATAGCAATTTAATGAAGAATTCGTTTTGTGAAGATGCATTTTATAAATTGTGGAGTGGGATGCATACACATATGTGTATATATATATATATATATATATATATATATATATATATATAAATATACATAATATATTCTTATGAAAATGAAATCTATTAATCATTAGCAATGTACTGCAGATATTGGGATCTGGTTATATATAACTCATCGATTTTTCACTACGCAAAAATAATTATAATATTAAAATAGAATTGGAAATACGAAAAAATTTAATAATAATGATATTATAATATAATAAATACAATATTATAATAATATTACTTGAATTATAATATTGATGAATAATTGTGTTACCTTCTTATTAATTCATACATTAATAAGACAACATACAATAATCAATCAATGTAATACATATGAAAATATGGATTTTCAGTATTTAACTATATAATATAACTATATAATTCAGATTATTAAAAAAAGGTGTATTTACATATACATTACATTGATGCATTCTTATATAAAAATTGTAATTTTATTTGTATCTTTGTTGTATAACTTATTTTATTTTAAAGATATAACACAAGTCGATAATGTAAATATAAGGTAAATTACATAAAAGGATATAAAATGAATAAACTTCTAATATAATAGTAAAAATATAATTGAATCCAGTAAATGAAAGTATATAAAATTTTCTAAAATTAACATTTAAAACCAAAATATAGTTATATATTATACAACGGTTTGTATTTACTTTAATGCAAAACTTTTAATATATTTATGCTTGAAAATTATTTCACAATTCTGATAAATACAACTTATATTTTAATCATAATATTTACAAATAAAAACATAAACATATAGTTATTAAAAAATAATGTAGTTTTCTGAATTACTATGTATTCAAATGAAATTAGATTAAAGTTCTATTTGTTGTGTAAAAATGTTAAGTGTTTTTCACAAGAACATTTTAAATTAATCCTTTTAATAAAATTTAACGAAAAATTAAAGCAATATATCAATAATTAAAACTTACCAAGCATCGAACATAGATTCTGGTTTAAATTTAAGTTATCATAGAATGGAGTGTGATATTCAAATAACGGCATTGAATTTACTGAATAATGAAAAATTCCTACGTTAAATAAACTCTATTTATCGTAAATTATCATCTTACATAAACATTTTTAATTTTTCACTAACAAAATACTAATTAACATTCATCATTCGCATGTCAACGTCAGCCAACATCTCGATCAACTGATATACGTGTATAAAGCTGGTATTCTATGGCACATACTGACAACAATACTCGAAGGGGATGTATATTAATCTACAAGTTCACTGGCATGAAAGGAGGTACCGATTATTGTCTTATAAGGAAGTAGGCAAGAATATATGAGCCAGCCAGCGAGTAACATAAATCCAATTTTAACGACTTGGTCTATAACGTAAAGATAAGCGAAGATGCGTCGAGCTCGAGGTAGAGTTGAAGGATCATCTTTGAGGTAATATTTTCTAGCTCCCAGAATATAATTGCTGATGAATTCGGACCACTTGATTTCCTTTACATTCATATAAAAGATTTTTCTGTCATGAAGGCTGAGACTCTCAAGTAGAGCTTTCTGATTCTCATTTCTACGATATATAAACAAATATGTAATTTAATCTAAAATTGTTGTAATTCTTAGGCATATATTATTTAATAAGATAAGAATCTTCGAAACTTTATATTATTATCTTATTATATTAATTAGTTATTTCTAAAATAAAAATATGTAATTGGTGTCATATGTGTTAAAGATGTTATAATGTGTTGTCATATGTTTTGAATACCGTCATAACGATAAGGAACATAAGTTAATTAACATAAGTATACATAAGAATAATTATAAGTTTTAATCAATTATAATTATGCGATATTATATAAAAACAAAAATTTCTAAAAAAAAATATATATTATATTTTCAGATTAAAAAATATTTATTTAATTTTAACAGATATCTAAAAATATAATTGAAATCTAATAGTACGTTACATACCAACAACATATAGCAAATAAATGACTCATCATCTTTGTTAAAACACATCATTTATACAAATAATAATTTTTTAATTTAATAATACACTGTATAATATATATTACTATTATTAAATAAATTAAATACATGCAATAATAAATAATGAAAAATAATAAAAGTGACGTTATTCTAATTTTCTTACATAAAACCTAAATTATGATTTAGTAAAATAAATATTTACGAAATTTCATAAAAAAAAGATGTATAACATTAATTTGTCTAAACTTTTTTTAGTTTCTTTATAAGTTTACAATTAACAATATAGTTGAAAGGTAAACATTTGCCTATATAATAATTTATATTTCAAAATTAAGTAAATATATCAAAATATTCTTATCTTTTATCAAGATTTTATTTTTTATTTATGATCATTGAAACAATTATACTTTTTTTTAAAAACTTAGAAAATGCGTTAGTAATAAAAAAGAAGTTCAAAATTTAGTTTACATCTACTGTAGTTAGTTATCTTTTTATAGATTTTTACTATAAATAACAAATCACACCGATCATTACCGTATGCATATTAAGATTTTTTTTGCAATTTTCTTTATAGATATTAATTAATTTTAATCAAAATTGATACGTAGAAAATTAAATAATTAATTTAATTAATTGAACATCGAATAAGTATACAATATTTTATTAATTTTTATGGTTATAAAAGACTAAAAGATATTCCTGAATCGGATTTAATAAAAATTTCAAACGTAATTATTAAAATAGCTAATTTATTAATAAATAATTTTTATAGATATAGGTTTAAAAATTATATTCGGTAAAAATAGTTTCGAAATTTCATATTAATAATACCGTATATAATATTTTAAATAATAGTTTTTGGTTAGATAATAAAGAATAAATCTATAAGCTTTTATAAAAATCTATTGTTTTTTAATAATAAGATTACTGTATTTATATTGATTTAGTAATAAATATCATTACTTACTTAAAAACCCATTCTTTCCTCATGTAATAATCGACTAGTTTGATTCCATAATGTATTCTATCTTGCACTTTAATGAGAAACGGTTTATTTCCAGTTAACATTAGAAGACCATCCAAAATATAAGCGGGAATCAATTGAAATAAGATTACAATCATAAAGTGAACAAATTTAGATGTTGTAAAATTTCCTCCAGGATACCACAAAGGTTCTGCAATTTTGAAATTAATAATTTGATATAAAAATGTATTTAAGTCTAAATAAATGTCTCAGATTTAATTAATACTACATACGTCAACCTTTTTTATTGTTATATATATATACATTGATTTCAAGAACTAAAAATGTAATTCTTTTATATTTAAGTAAATAAGTATAATAGTACTTATTACATATAAACTAAGGATATTATGTAACAGTTTTCCGTTTTTCTTTTAATCGTGGTTAAACCAAACTGTACATTGAAAATACATATCTTGTTAAATATTTGTATTAATTTATTATTATAATAGACTGACTTAAAATATATAAAAATATTAATAACCTATAATATTATAGCGAGTATATTTGAAAAATTACTAAAGATGAAAATCAATTAATATCAAAAGAAAGATTCAAACTATCTTAAGAATTACAATAAATTTCTGGCATGAGAATATAGGATTCAATAAAGAATGGTGTTAATGATGGATGGAATTCTATTAAGTTAAACAGTATGTAAACATAGTAAACTACTTTTTATTATAAGCTAATTCTAATACTCAATAGTTATTAGAAACGGTTGAAAATAATTTTTATAATATATAAAGAGAATAAAGTTTAACTTATTACAGTTTTACTACAAAAGATGAAAATATTTTATATAATAAAATATATCTCAATATTAGGAATTCTTTTCATAAAATTTTATATTCATAAGTTGAATTCATGTTAGATATATAAGATTAAATAGGCAATTATAAATGTATTATTAAAAATTTCGCATTTTATAAAATAATAAACTAATTATTAATAATAAAAATCAAAATATGTATTTACGTGAGAAGGGATTAGTAATGACACACTGCCTGCCAGTTTCGATAGCCTCTCCCCAAGTGATAGGATTTTCATCACTTAAAGTACTGTTGACAAAAAGAGTCTTCTCAGGTTTCTCCAGACCAACTTTCCAGGCAAGTGCTATAGTCATGTTGACAGCGAGGTCGCAAGGTATAAGATCAGCTTTATAGTGGGGCTTCCCAAGCATCGAACGTATGACGCCTTTGCCAGCGCCGATCATCAAACCGGTAGGCCCGTTTATGTTGTCTACCCAACCGCAATCAGGCTCCTTTAATGATCCTACCACTAAAATATTCACGAGATCCTTTTGGTTACAATTAAACTTGCTTATCGACTGATTATAAACATTTGACTTTGTATTATATTTTATACCCTGATTATTCTTAATTATTCGACTTATTTAGGTCAACAATAAAAACTTAAATATGACGATTAATACTTTGGAATAGCATACATTAACTTTACTTGCTTCAAAAGATTATACTAATGTAAGTTAAAGAAATGATCTATAAATACAATAGTAATAATAAGTACCACTAGCTTTCCATTCTATATAATACCGTTGCAATTAATATTAGACATCTTTTTTTACCTAAGTTGCCATTATTTCTTAGCTAATTTTGTAACATCTTTAGCAATTCACTTTTGTATTGCTTTATTTTAAATATAATTTGTTTGACATAATAATTAATAATACATTAATTAAAAACTAAAATTGTATTGTTTAAATTTTTACAATATTTATGAACATACATATATATTCAATTAATATAAAATATATATTGAAGTAACTAAAAAATTTAATTATATATATGTATATTTGAGTTTTTAAAATTATAGATAAAAATAGCTTTAGTAATCTCTCTTATACCATTTACAACGAATTTATCATATCTTTGATATTAACAAACTTGTGAATATTTTATAAATATATTAATTGGTTTCGAAATAAACTGAAATCGACTTTACCGATAGATGGTCGTAATATACCAGATGGTAAACCACATTTATTTACTAAATCTTCACCCAAAGCTTTAGTGAAGGCATAGGTATTTGGTTGTTCGCCGAGAAGATTAGGAGACATGGCGCTGACAATATTTTCAGGGATTTCGTCAACAATTTTCATTATTGCCTCGGGAGAGATGCTCACAGGATAATGTTTCTCGTATAACACTGTTTCATGGCAATGACAATAGGCTGTAGATACGTGAATAAAGGAGTCCAGGTTTTTCAACTACAAAAAAACAACATTTTTGGTTATAAAATAAAATTTATTGCAATGAATTTATCTTCCTTTTCAATATTTGGCTGTATTCTGAAGTTAATTCCAAGATAATTTCTACAATTCTATTTTTGGAATTTTTTAGAGCTAATTAAATGATTGTATTAAAAACATTTTTATAAAATTGCTTACCATTATAATAATAACAGTACAACCCGAATGTATTTTTGTTTTTATTACCTCATCAAATGGCAATCATTGTTAAAAACACACAATAAAATCATTAAAGAAACTTCAGAATTATATAGATAATAATGACAATAGAATTAATTGAAAATTAATGTTTATAATGCAAATTATACCATAATTAGACAACAATTATACGAAAAACAGAAACAATAAAATCTTAGCTTAAAAGGTAATATAATCTAGTAAAATATTATTATTTACAATATTCATATAATGAGAATGCTTTAACATAATTTTAATAGTAATAAAATGTTATAAATATTTTTTTTACAAAAAAACATATGAATTTAAAACATGAAAATTAATTTTTTTAGTTATCATTATTGAAAAGATAGTGGAATAAAAAAATACTTGAAAATAAAATCTCTATTATATATAATCTCAATTATTAATATATGCTATTTCCTTATAGTTATTTTATTTAAATGTTAAAATATATAAATTGATATAATTTTTTTTTCTTAGATAATTTATTTAATAAAACACTTTAATACAGATGTATTTATGTTCTAGAATAAAATTAACAGAAACTGAATTTACGATTTGAAAACACTTTTTAAAATTATTATTAAAACTAAAAATTCGCAATTTTTTAAGTTATGAATCTTCTGTTTATAAAAATTAATGAATTTCATAATCTTTAATTAGGAATTGAACTTTAAGTTATAACAAAAAAAATCAATGTAAAATAAAAGGATTATTCTTATATATTTAAAAGTAGTTTTTATTCATTATAAATATTATAAAATAGTGTTAGAATAAGGAAAGATTAAAAATAAAAAACAATAAAAACAGTCATTTTTAATTATACTTATTTTAATAATGAAAGTAAAAATGGGACGCAAATGTATATTCACTGAATATAAATGAATTATTATTTCTTCTATTTATTCAAACAGTCAATTCTACATAATATTAATAAAAAGAATTTTTTTTATGTATATTTTAAGCTGGTAAAAAACTGTAAAATTTCTTGCACCAGTATATTTTGTTTCAGTACTATATTTTTCTTAGAATATTTTATGAAATACATAGATATATCAAGTTCACTTAGTTTATTATAATTAATCACATTATATATAATGGAGACAACCTGTTTTTTTTTCATTTTAAATATGTAAAATATTTTTATTTTGGATAATGTGTTAAATTTAAACTTCCTGTAATATGCTTTAAAATTGATAAAAATATTGAATTGAATATTTATCTCAATTTGGCAATTCCTATTTAGCCTTCTATACGTTTTAAATTGAGATAAGCAATAGATTATTTTTCGAAATTATATTAATTTGAATTCAATTATATTATATTGCCTTATTTTTAATAAAAATGTCAAAAATGAACGGACGGAAAAAAGAATTTTTATTTTACAAAGAATAAAAGATTGAATAAATCGTATGATACCTGTTTTGCAAGAGCAATTACATTAGCAGTGCCTTTAGTGTTCATAGTAACAGCGCTTTTGAGTGGCACATCAAAACGCACATTAGCTGCCATATTAATAACAACAGAAACATTGTTCTTTATAATATTTGCATCATCTGTTGACATTCCAAGTCCATCACACGTGGTGTCACCCGGTACAACAACTAGCTTTTTTAGCCTTTCCGGGTGATTCTCCCGCAGTAATCTAAACGGTTCTTGCTGAAAATTAAATACGACGTTGAATAAATTACGAGCTAATAAAAAATTATGTGGAAAATGGAAATACCAAATTTTTATTTCAATAGATATATTTTTAATAACTATTCTTTTAAGATAATAGACTTTAAATAATAATATGAAATACTGACTTTTCAAATTATATCATCTAATTGATAAATTCATTGTACTAATATTTTATTTAGCGAAATTTATATTCAATCATAATATATGATTATATTTGTAACAAATGTAGGAAAAATATTGTATAATATATTTAATGATTATATAGTTATTATTTTTATTTTTATTTTAATTACTATAGCTATGAATATTGAAGTACATATTTTATTATAATTTATTTATTATTTTAATTAGAAAAGTATAAACGATATTTTATCAATGTAAGGATTATTTTATAAGTAATTTCATTTATGAACAAGTTTATATTTTTAAGAAATATATTTTTTCATTTCAATTATTAATTTTATTTAACTTACTTAACACAAATATTTAATCTATTTAAAATATTTAAAATAAAAAAAATTTTAATTTTTTAAAATTTCATTATTTATTAACATTTCATATTTATTTTCAAGCTGGAAGATTAACTTCAATTAGTTCTAATTGTAATATATTATTAAGTAATTCATTATGTGTTAATCATTTAACATTCTCATAATAAGTAGTAATAGATTATAAGAAATAATCATATGTACTTTAAATTTATATAAATATAAGCAATGATAAAATTAGTTTACCTTTCCTTGTTTATATCATAATTAAATATGGAATAATAATAATACGAATGTACCGTAACATATAAATATAAAAATTTGTTAAAAGTTTTCATATAATATGTAAACACACTTTGATTGCATAGCTAACTACTAAGTTCAAGAAAGAGAAATGCATAAAATGAAATTTGTAAATATAATGACATTAAATAACTTGATCAAATGCTTTGATTAAGTATAAATGTAAAAGTGATCTTTATTACATTTCAAGTAGAGTCTATATAATTTAAAATAGTTACCCTAAATTATGCAATTTAATACTGAATTTAATGAGTAGATGAACTCTATAATAAGCAATTTATCATAGAAATTAACTCAGCTTTAATACGTTTGATATTGTATTCATATAAAACTTATCATTTAATTTATATTTATCATAACCATTTTTCAATTTAATTCTAATTTTATTATAGCTGACAAAAAAATTAAATTAAATTAAATTAAACAATAAATTGAGTAAATCGAAAAATTTGTACTTAATTAAGATATACTAATTAATCATAAACATAATTTCTAAAATTGATATCGACAATGGTTTATTATTATTAAATGAATGTATTTAATCATGAAAATTTAACATAAGAATACATTGTCAAATATTTTTAATATTTTTCATGAAGAGTAAAAATATATGAGACTAAAAAATATAAAAAATATTGTTACATGACATAATGTAAAAGTATTTTGCAGATGACAAACTTTAATAATGGATAGTTTATGAATCAATCTATGAAAAAATTGATTATTAATATAAAATATTTAATTATAAATAATAAAAATTTCAAGAAATTTCAATATATTTTTATTAAAAATACAATTTATATTTATTTAAATTTATTTAAATTTAATTAACGACTATTTCCTACTATATTATAATAATTGTACGATTTTTTATATTTATAGTTTTTTATAAAAAATTTATAAAATTTCCTTTAATGTATTTATGTACTTATAATGTATAACCACACTTTTAAAAATAATGAAATCTTGAAATTTATAATATATTTAATCGATTTAAATTTTACTTTCTAAAATTTCGACATTTTTGTTAGATAAAACAAGTTTTATAGCAATATTGAGATAATTTAAAATTTCATCATGAGCTAATAGGCGATAAAAAACGTTGCAGAATCTAGGTAGGAATTATACAGTCTTAACTTTCTATTATACACCAATTTTATGTCAAAATTATGATTTCTTTTTGTTCGCGTTGTCCATCATTAATACTTAATTATAATAATAAATAGTAATATAAAACTTAAATAATAACATTATAGAAAAATTATTATATAAAATAAAACATAAAAATCTAATGAATTGTTTCTGTTGTGAAAAGTAATTTTTGTTATATTTTGCGATTTATTATTTATTGTTAAATCGAAGTTTACTTTGTTTATTACTTTAAATTTAATTTATTTTTATTTTAATCCAAATTTAATACAAATCATTATATTAAATCATCAATATGAAATATTCTATTTTAATACAAATTATTATATTTTGAAATTTTTAAGTAATTTTAATAATTGATAATTATTTATTTGATTTTTCGACTAATTAAAAAGATTGTTTATTTCATAAAATTATATTTTTTTTAATTTTATTAAAATAAATTGCACTTTTATATTTGGAATTAGAAAATCACTACATAAAATAATTGTACAAATAGAACAATTTAAAAAATAAAACATCTAAAAGTATTCTAATTAATAACAATAATGTACGCACAAGTATCAAAGACTTTCAATAAAAAATTTAAATAGCTGTTTATTATATTTTAAAATATAGATTTTAATTAATTAGTACCATAAGCTATTTTAATAGAGTCAAGAATATTATTTTCCTTGTTTGATGTTCTGACTCATTTCTATAAGTATTTTTCAATGAGTATGCTTTTGAATGATAAGGATTCTGTTTAGACATATTTCTTTATATACAAGTATAAATACAAAAGGAATAGATAAGATTAATTAATTATTTTTCACAATTATTGTTGAAAAGTGATTTTATGGTTTCAAAATGTAAATGTTTTTATTGGCTCCTTATAGAAGTACATATTAATGGTTATTTTAATGATTTCTATTTATACAATACACAGTTAAACAGTTAAAAGCAATTTTTAATAAGTTCATTAATTCAGAATACTTACTGTATCAAAAGTAAAAGTTAATTATTGAAATGATAAATTGAAAATTAATGATTATATTTAAATATAAATAAATACATATTTAGAAATTAATATTTATATGAGAAAAACTCGGTTTTAAGCCTGATTGAATTAACATAATTACTATCTATTTAAAAAAAAAAGTTTATTATTGTTCCATTTCTTTAAAAAAATACAGTTTCTCTATATTATCAAAGATTTGATGAATTAGAATAAATATAAAAATTGAAAAATTAATATATTTAGTACATACATAGCATTTTATTGCACGTAAATTGTATAATCAATTTAAAAATATTTGTTATACAATTTAATTTAATTTATAAATTTGATGTAATTTATTAATTTACAATAATAAATTAATTAAGTATCCAGCCTTGAATATATTAATTAATATATATCTAATGACATAATATAAATGCTAACGATACATACTTTTCTTAAGAAACAAGACCTATTGCAATATAGCGGCAAAATAGTGCAATAAAAAAGCATTGTCATGACAAATTATCAGATACAAAACAAAGAAATATAGTTTTATGAATTTAAATGTAATCTCTTATCGGAGTGTTCAATTTAGACGAACTCATGTTATTATACTACGTACGAATTTTAATATTAAATAATATTTAATATTACATAATACATATAAATTTTAACATTAAATAATATTTAATATTATATATCACATATGCATATTACTATTAAATAATATATAATATTACATACAGCATATGAATGTTAATATTAGATCTATGAATTATTGAAATAATGTTAAATAGGTAATAGAATAAATTCCAATGATTTTCGAATAAAATTAAAAAATTTTAAAAAAATGTTTGAAAGGATTTATTATCAGTTAAATAATTTAAAAAATATTATTAATTACAACATCGAGTATTGAATTATAAATGCTGATACATAGATTTTTGAAAGAAAATGTTTCGAAGTAAAAATAAACTTTAATATTATTCCTTTTTTTCGAAATACTTTTAAAGTATTTTTTGTAAAAATTTGAATATAAAATATATTAATTTTTTATCTAAAATTTGAAATAAATTATATACTAAAGCATAATAAGTAAACAGATCTCAAAATTTGTTTTTTTTTTAAAATAAAGTTCTCTTAAAAATCCATACAATTTAGATACTGTTAATATCTGTACTCATATAGTCAGTAAATTAGGCCAATTTATTAAAAAATTCCATTCCATTTATTAAATTTTTTAAAAATATTAATAATATTAAATTAAATTTTTTAACGTTATTGGTCAGATCAAATATATGCCAGGATCTTCAGCAATTTAGCATTTTAAAATATTTTAGCAATATTTTTGAATACTAATTTTTATGTAAAGTTGTCATTATTTGCTTTTTAATAATTTAAGATGTACATCATTGTAAGTAACTAATAAACAATTAATTTTAGATATCTAAAATATATGGTAAATTATAAAATACGAACCTGTACTAAAGTCGAAATTCGATTTTTTGAAGGAATACCTTTTTTTTCTCTTATTATTAAATAGATCGCTTCAACTTCCGGGCAGCTCTTGAGGAACTTCGACACCAAAACCTTTCCCATAAAACCAGTACCGCCCGTAACCAATACATGTCTACCCTGAAACCACTCTGTAATACTTGGTTTTTCCGAGCCCATGTTAGTCATTTTGTTGTCGTTTAAGAAGTGACCGTAAATGATACTAAATTTATACGCCTGAAAAAAGGTAAATACATTTCAATTCATTTCATTATTTTGTAACAATGACTTACAAAACGTATCAATAAAATTAACCTTTATTGGTAATATATAATGAATTTTACCCAGTAATCTAAAAAAATTCTACGCAGTAAGAAAATATTTAATGTTTTAAAAAATAAACTATCAGGCTTCTAAAGTAAAACAATATTTCAATTTAAATAACGTTGAATCAATACTAATAATAACAACTGTGAATTATACTATTAAATACTTTAGTATTTGGTAAATTTCTCTATAATAATAATGCGCATTTTATAATTATGATTATTTAAATAAGAAACAATTATTAACAATAATTTCTAATAAATAATTAGTTTGTATTATAGTTCCATTTAAAACGTATTGTAATAATGATATTCTAGTAGGCTTGGATTCTTTATCTATCGTTACGACTACACCACATTTCCAATACTTGGAAAGTCAGTGAAATTAAAACGTAATTATCATTTATAATCTTTCGAATGAACATTCATTCCTTTACTTTCGTTTTAATCTCACACCATATAAAATGACTAAATTTCATCAGAATCGATAAGAAGTTAAAATTATTTTATATAAGTTCATTACTTTACTAACTTTTACTTTTGGAAATATTTTCTATTTACTTTTGAAAATCTTCTCTATATAATATCGAAAATGAAGGTTGTGACAAAATTAATATGTGAGCAGCAAAAGAGGAAGGCCATAACTTTCGAAACTTTAAATGCCAAGGCTGATGCATAAGAACACAACCAAAAAGAGGTTGTCACTGTCATGGATACGTTCTCCTTATTAACGATGTATTCACCGCACATATAAAATTCATGAAACACCAAATTGAGTTTATCTATATATGTTACTCTTTGATTTCCTTTAAACAAGTTCTGAAGAAATGAAAGGCGATGACGATAGTTTTTTAAGGAATCGTTGGAGTTACTTTAATGATTTATCAGTTATTTCCAATTATTTTCATACGATATATTTGTTTTCGCTCTTTATTTTTAGTTTTATTCTAATGACCATTATAATAATTGACATATATACAATTATATACTATTTTACAATTTAAATAGGAAAATATTACATTTTCTTTATCACTTAATAAACAACGGTATTGTTGATATGAGTATAATATTATTAATGTTAATAAAATAATAAATCAAATTTATTAAAATGACTATATATATTTATAGTATTTATATGCAGTGTGGGATCGTAAGTAGGTAAAAGAAGTAATATACAGTTTCGAAAAAGTAAAAAATATTCATAAATACGATCTTAAATATTTGTATCCATTTTGATATTGATAATTAACAAATTGACATAGATAAGAATGATTAGCACAAATAAAACGAAATAATTATGAATTAAAAAAGCCGAATACAGTTCTATGTATATATATATATATATATATATATATAAAAAAGCATAAATCTTTAATTTATTGGAAAGAATTATAACTAATTTTCAGATAATTTATTGCAATGTATTTTTAAAGATGATTTAAATATAATATATAATTATCAAATTAGCTATGTTGACGTATTAATACATTATTCACATTGTTCTGAGTGTTAATTCATATTTTATTGACAATTAACTAAAACACAAATTTGGAAAGTATCAATTCCAATATATAAATATTTATTATTATTCTGTTATACTTTTAATCTTTTTATAAAAAAAAAAAAATTCACCTGTTTTTGATATTTGAAATTTGTATCTATAGTGAGAGCTTTTAACATTTCGAAAAAATTCATTCAATATGATAAGAAATTTTTTTAGTTTGCAATTCCCTTTAAAAATATATTTTATGAATATATTTACATAAAAAATCCAACGGATTAATTGAAAGTTTTACAACCCTTATAAATTACATATCTGTTTTTTATAATCCAAAACACAATGTATAGATTAATATCATTGCAATTACATTTTTCAAAATAGTTTGTAAAATGTTAGAATATAAATTTGAATTAAGACTTAAAATATTCCAATGGATATACTTTATTACATTTTGTTAATGATAATTAAATATTTCATGTAAAACATCACATCCTATGATATTTTATTTTAATAGTATATATTAGAAAGGTGAAAAAAATATATTTTCATTTATTTAAAAGCTTCTACACTTGCAATTATTACATGAAAACTATTATGTAAATTTATAAATATTTGATTACTTAATATTCGGAATTTTTATCGTTTTTTAATATTTAAATAATTTTGTATTGACAATATAAAATTCCAAGCATAATATTTAGAAGTATTTTTGACTGACAATTTTAGTATCTTTCTAATTTGAATGTTTGTTTTAATTTGAAAATTAGAAAGTTTTCATAAATAGATTATATTAAGCTGTAACCATAATAATTATTTATAATACAAATTTTTTTACACCAAATAACAATAAGCGTTTTATAATGTTTTATCTTTATTTACTTTTCTAAGTCAATTACCAAAATAAAAACATTGGGTTATAAAATTTATTTAATTAAAATGCTAATTTATTTTATCACAATCGTATATAAATTATACATAATTAAAATAATAATTAATCAAACACAAAGATTATTAGAGCGTTTCAATGGGAATAATCAAATAATATAATCTAGTATTGATGTAGTTTATTAAAACAAGTTGAATTTAAAAATAAAAAAAAAATTTTTTTATTGTATGATATAAAATTTTTTTATTTTTCTAACTCAAATATTATAAAAATAAAATTAGTAGAATTACAATTATTTTGAAAAATTAGCTACCATTCTAAGATCAGGAACACATTGTAAGCATATTTTTTTAAATTTCGTATATAAACTATATTATATTTTTTAATAACAATACTAATACTAATAAATGAAGTATGAGAATAATACGAACCTGCTTTAGTTTATTTTATTATTATTATTATTATTATTATTATTTTATTAATATATAATATAAATTAATATAAATTATAAATTAATTAAAAGATTAATAGATACTCTTAATATTATAGAAATGTTTATTTTTTAAATGAAAGATAATTCAAATCTATCATTTTCAATAATTCATCAGATTCAAATTTCATTCAATAAAATAGATTTACTTTTTAATAAATTTACATAAATCAACATCACAACATTTATAAGAAATTTATTAAATCTAATTTATTCTCTCGTATAAATATATGCTATGCTAAAATAAAATAGTTAAAGAAAAATAATATTACAATGAAGCACATTTAAAATTTTACATAAATTACAGAATTTTGAAAAGAATAATTTTTTTTAATAAATGATAATGAATTTTTAATTTTATGTTATACGTGGACAATATTTAAATCATAAAATTAAATAATACTATAAATAAATTAAGAATATTGTGTTATAATGTTACACCTCCTCGCAATCATTGATTAGATTCTGTAATTCACAAATGATAGACTAGAAATTACGAATCGACAGATTTGTAGTAGCTTCAATCTAGTATTTCATTTCTCAATAGAGTTTGAAGTTAAGTAATTTTTCAAATATTTTCAAAGCGATAAAAGGTTAAGTCATTCCGAAGTAGGCGAATTATCCCCTTCAAGTAACATTACATTACACGAGTTTGCAATGACGTAATTTAATCTTTAAAAGAGAGTGTCTACCTCGAGCTAATCGTTCGGTAGACCAATTATCTTATTTCAAGTTGTAATTTGTTACTTAGGTCTGCTTAAGTAAGCTATGTATAGAATTCATTGCTAAAAAACATATTTATGTTTTGAAGATGTGTTTAGTAAAATTAGTCAACCATTTTAATGTAATATGTTTAAATTCTGATAATATTCGAGTGGCTACTGTAATACTTGATATTAGAATTAAATAATTATATATAATTTTATTTGTAAATTTCTATCTGGAAGTGGCTAAAAAAAATTAATTCAATGTTTTGTTGCATGCATTGAAAATTATGTATTTTAATTCCGTATTTAAAAGAAAATTATGCATCAACAGGTACTTTCATTAAAATAGCTAATCATTCCATCTATTTAGTGAAAAAGTTAACAGTTAAATTTATTTTACATATAATATTGTATTTTATCTGATATTCAATTGAATGACCTTTTTAATGATTAATTAGGCAATTATGATATTTGTTAGAACGTGAATTTTTTTATTTATTCGGTCTAGTCTATAGAGTTTAAAATGAATAAATCAATGATCTCTTTATACATGGTTAGATAGTTATAATTCAAAATCATGAAGCAAGTATAAAAGTGTAACAAAAATAAAATAAAAATTATTATTGATTATTCAACCTTAATATGAAAAAAAATTATATGAAATTCAATGCACACAAACAATTTTATCTATCAAAATTATTATTTGAATAATTTATTAGAAAGCAAATGCATTTAATAGCAAATAATATAATCGACATAAATAGTTTTACTTATACATAAGTATTGAAGGTAAGTATTATTTTGAAATCAAGGAAAATTCGATGGAAACTGTGATTGCTGGTACATTAAAGTATGTATTTAAATAAATATATAAAAGTTTATAGTTATATTTAAACTTTAAAATCAAGAAATTATTTTGTCATAATATTTAACAGAGTTAAAGACTCTGGAAATTATTTGGTAATATTATAAAAAAGTATTAATATGTAGTAGTAATTTTTAAAAAAACTCGTTTGTCATATATAAACTGGATAGGCCCTTACGAACTACTCGAGAAAGTTGAAGAAATATATGCACGGCAAAAATTCACCTAAAGTCAGAATAACGAAGGAAAGCATATGTAGAGTAACGGCATTATCAATAATTTTCTTAAGTTAAAATTGCATTTCTTTATTCGACGATTGAACATGTTGCCAGCCGTTGTTTATATGCACTGGCTTTGCTTCGATGACTACGAGTTTCGTCGGTCTCTTGTATTTATTCAGCTTTTTATTTTGCATGTGTGTTGTATGTTTTATTTTATATGTGTCGTAGCTGACCTC